CACCGACCCCGCGGGGCTTGGCAGCGGCCCCGGGGCCACGCCGGGGGCCTGGGAGGGCCTTTTAGGGGGGAGAAGGCAATAACGTGTGTATTTCCTATATATTTATATATACACGTATAAATACCTGCGTGCTTCCGTGTACTTCCGTATAACTGTATAACTACATGTGCGTTCTGCTGTCTTTATATGTCTGTATTTCTGCACACGCGTGTATTTTCTTAGCAGTGCCGCTCCCTGGGCCGTGCGCGGAGCACGGCGTGCCCGGATAACGCTCCCCCGGTCCTGGGCAGCCCCTCGGCGCTGAGCCCCGTTTGGGTGCCTCGTCCCGGGACTCGTCCCCCTTTTCCCTTGGTCCCGGGGCACCTCCAGCCGGGTGCTGCGAGGGCGTTCGCCTTCAGCGCGAGTACAGTTGGGTTTTTTGGCGCAAATAAGTGCCACCGAGAAGTGGGACGCGATGCACGTGCCTGGGAACCGCCCGGGGACGTGGGACGAGGCGTCCCCTCGCTCGGCGAGGGTCGAGCACTGTTTCTTTGCGTTTCCCCGCAGCGGCTCTGTCCTGGTGCCAGCTCGGGGGGCTGAGCCCCAGATCAGCATCGGGTCACGCACTGGATGCGATGTGGTGCACCCCGTCCCGCCTTGGTCCCTCCTGCTCCTCTGAGCTCGGGTTAAATCGCAAAGCCTTACTTAAGGGGAAGAGAGAAGCTGAGAGAGGTGGTGCAGGGAGGACGGTTAAGCTCGCTCTGTCCCCTTCGGTGAGGAGGGGTTTGGGGCACGCTCCCCCGTTAACCAGGGAGGAATTTGGGGGTTATTCTCTGCCTTGAAACACCAGGCGCTTCTCCTGACGCACCTCATCTCTCCTAGGTCAGCATGATCCCGGGACACGGGCCGGTGATCCAGTCGGTGCTGGGAACCTTCCTGACCTGGGGGCTGACGGCGGCTGGCTCGGCACTGGTGTTCGTGTTTTCCAGCGGGCAGGTGGGTGCTGGGATCGCCTCCTCTGTCCCCGGGAGGCGAGTGGGGTCCGGGATGGAGGGCCGCGCTGTGCTCCCGGGTGGATTTGGCAGCCTGGTCCCAAGCGTGAGGGACTTGACATTGACCCTGGGAGGTCCTGGGGCAGGAGGAGAAAAAATCCAGCTCATTTCTCTCCCGTGTGTCAACACAGAAGGGAAGAAGCAAATCAAATTCCTGACCCCAGGCTGTGGTATGCGCCGTAGCGCAGCTCACAGCGTTCGGGAGATGGGGCAGAGCCGCAGGCAGGGCTCTGTATTCGGAACAGCAGGTTCTCCTCCTGTAACCTGGTTTCTCTGGTGCAGGATTCAGGTCAGCCTGTGCTCAGACCAAGCAAAGTGCTGATCGCTAAGTCATCTTATATTCCAAAATTAGAGGCCCCCCTTGCTGTTGTGTTCAAAATTGCCCGGATGAATTTATTATTTATGCCTCTCTCTTGTGATGATTTATTCAGGAGTTTGTTGTAAAGCGCGATTCCCATTGCAGTAGCACGTTGGTTTTCTTCCTGGGGGAGGGCAATGTGCTAAAGAAGAAAAACTGCACTGGGAGTTAAGTGGGCAGGATACATGCTGGGTTACTGGAAGACTAATGGCTTTGTTTATAGCAGCCTGTTATTAGAGGAATCAAAATCTTCAAGGGGGGGAAGTGCAGGGCAGTGTGCACAGATGGGCAGGAGAGTTTCTGGTTTACCTTTCCATATCCTCAGGGCATTTTGGTGTGGGCACTGGATGGGCTGAGCCCAGTCCGGGCAGTGTCGGTGGGCTGAGGGAGCCAGGATGCGCTGTAGGCTCTTGGTGATGGTGGGCATGGTGATGGTGAGGAGTACGGCTCTTGCCTCAAAGCAGAGAAATCACTTGGGTTGCAGAAATGGGGAGAAGAAAAATTATCTCAGTGCAGCAGCGGCGCAGCTGGCTTCACTGCTTTGCACGGTTTGTGGCGCGGTTGCGTTCCACTGCTTCTGCCAGGACTAAATTGTGTGTTTGTGTTGTGTTTTTTTTTTTTTTTTTTTTTTTGAGAAGAGGTGGGAGAGGAAGCACGTAGAATTCCTTCAGCGTAATTTATTTGTTTTATTGTTCCTGCAGCACATATTACGCTAGAGTCAAGCTCACGCATGAAGCATCCTACAAGGACAACTTCAGATCACCTGCTCTTGTGTTGGGAGCACGGAAGAAGGACGCAGCCAGAAGGGCACTGAATCGCAGAGGCGGATCCTAGATGGGAGCTTAGGCTTCGCCGCAGGGGTAAGTACAGAAGCATCCTTCTACTCATCGTCTCTGCCTGTGTTCTCCTGCTGGCACCTCTGAAGCCCTACCACGCTTCATTTGGTTGCCCGCTCGCGTTAGCGTTTCTTGGGTAATTGCCTGAGGTGCAGGTGGGGCAGGGGAGAGCACGGTGCGGCGCTGGTCACGTCTTGTCATGTCTCAGCACCTCTTCAGTGAGGGTGGAGGTGGCCTGAGGAGGGTCATGAGGACGTCGAGCTGCCCGTGCCGGATTTGGCTCTCTTGAGTTAAGCTCTTCTCATCTCCTTGGGCTTCTGAATCCTTCCTCCTGGAGCACTGGTGCGATGAAGATGGGCAGGAGAGCCCTTGTCCTGGAGGCTAGTGCGCATAGCTTGCTTTGTGCTTCTCGCTCTCCTGCGGAGCCTGGGTGCTTTGAGCCCTTGGGAGAAGGGGGAATAAAGGCACCGCAGTTCTGCATCAAGGGTGCACACTGAATGTGGGCCTTATTGCCTCTTTCTTGAAGGAAGACATTAAATTGTGCGGCTTGAAATTGCCTTGGGGCTTGTGAACGTAGACCTTCTCCTGCTGCCCAGCTACTGGGGTGGTGGGGAGCAGGTGGAGGCTCACTCAGACTCGTTAAATCAGGTTTGTTTTCCTTCAGGCGCTAGAATGTGCCTGAGAAGCTGGGGAATGTGCTCTGGGTGGAAGGCGCATCTTCCCAGGGTGTGAGGCTGGGGTGCAGGGCTCTGCCAGGTCCCGCTCGCTGCATCCCGGCTGTGTAGCTGGCACCCGGAGCGTGGGTGACGCTGCCAGGTTTCGGGGTGAACCACGAGCCCGGCAGCGCGGGTGGTCTGTCCTGCAGCGTGCGGTAACGCCGCTCGTGCTGAGGTTGTGCGTGGAGTGGGGCTCCTTCCTCCCTGTGCACCCCCAGACACTGCGGTACCGCTGATCGAGGTGAAATCTGTTTGCAGCTGTGGAGATCACAGGTCTTCTGCTGTTCCTGAAGCCTGTTTCCCCAGCTGCACCAAGCAAGAGCTTGCTGTGGTGGGTGATGTGAAATGCTACAAAGCTCGGTTTGCTCCCTAGCAAGCTTTCCTGGAACAGGCCTGTGACCTGCTAATGATGTGAATAATCCAGCTCGTCTGTTGTAGTGGATTCTCAGGCCATCATTTATAAATGAATCACTCGCGTTAGGAATTGCCCGTTCTGGAGCTTTCCTCTGTGGTTTGGTTTCTGAGCTGTTTGTCTCTGGCAGACGCACCCTCATCCCTGCAAGCCAAGTCGAAGCCACTTCAGTGGTGTCGGGGAGATGCTGCCGGGGACGGCGTGGGCTGGGCTGTCCCCTCGCTGCGGCATCGCTGTCTCCCGAAGTGGCTGGTGCGACTGTACCCCAGATACCGGGGCACGGCGGGGTGTTTGCCCCGGCCGAGGGCTGGCTCGGGTGCTGCCCCGGCACAGCATGATGCCGTCCTTGCCGTGGCCGCTGCATCGCCCTGCCAGGAGAACTGAGTCATCCCTGCGCGGCAGAGGTGTGGCTCAGCTGGTAAAGCAGAAGTCCTACAAACATTTGCTTTTCCCCCAGCTTCTTTCAATTTGCTGTGCTCGGAGCAGGAAAGGGGAATTTTTTCTGGGGTTGCTGCAGTGTCTGGAGGCGAATGTCAGCGAGGAGGCTGGTGGTGGCAGGTCCTGCTGGCAGAAGGTGCTGCCACATAAACCACCCACGACCTGCAATTTTGTGAAAGTTTCTGTTGTGTTTATGCACCTGAGCTGCTGAAGCTGGTGTTGGTTGGGATGTGCTGTCTGTGTCACCCAGGGTCGCTGCAGCCCTGCCCTGATGCTGTGTGGCCAGGGCCAGCTCTTCCAGAGGAAGATGCCAGAGATCCACAGGTGATTGTGCCACCATTGCTTCTAGGGCTGCTGGGAGCAGGTCCTTGCTTGGTGGTCGAGTCTTTGGGTGGCAGCAATGCAGCAAAAGCAGTAGAGGTTGGAACTTTTATCTTCCTTTTTGCTCGGTTTGCTCCAGATGTGCCCATAGCTCTGCTTTGTGTCTGCAAGGGCTGTGCTCGACCCTGCACCTTGATGCTTCCCCTGTGCAGCTGCCTGGGGCCGAAGAGGGGTTTGGTGGATGTTACCCCCAGGCAACAGGATCCCCTGGAGTCTTTAGCAGAGTTTTTCTTTTCCCAGTTGCGCAGTGATGTAATCACTCCACCGGCAGTGTCTCTATCTCATCCTTACCCAAAAGGGTTTAATAATGTGAGAAGGGTTTTCCTTGCAAAGACTCCATGGAGAAGCTGGAGGGGAAACCACCTCCTGACCTGGCCCTTCAGGACAGCCCTTCGGCAGGAGGGACCGTGGCTGACTCGTGGCTCCGTGCACGCAGGTGGATGTGGGATGGTGGAGGTGGGACGCGATGCTGGAGCTAAGCAGGCTGCAAGCTTGAGGCTGGCTGTGTCCAAGGGGGGAGCAATGGAGAGGGAACCTAGATAGGCTGTGAAATCCTCCTGGCTGTCTGGGACGAGGGGCCGTTCCTGCCTCATCCAGCTTTGTGCTGCAAAACCAGTGTCCGGGGAACCTCAGGAGCAGCGCGGGCTGTCTGTGTTTGAGCAGGCTGGCTTTGCGTAGGGGAAAAAGCAGGCTGTGGAGCAGTTGGTTTTGAAACCTATTTGTACTGTTTTCTCTCTCTTCCTCCCTGTAAGAAGTGTTTCTTCAGACAGAGACGTTGCTTTGATCATGGACTACTTCCCTTGCTCTAAGGGATTTCTGTTTAAAACACCGTGTCTTTGATGTAGATCTCTCGCAGATACGGACGGGCTGCTTCTCTGAGCACGGGGATAGAGAGGCAGAACTTAACTTCCTCTATCTCTGCTCTGAAATCGGCTGCTGGGTTTAATTAAACTTCCCTTGTGCTCTGTCAGAGCCAGCAAACCTCCTCCTCCTGCACTGTTGGAGGCAAGTAGTTGCTTCAGATCTTGCTGTTTTGGTGCTCAGCTCGGGATCCCCGATAGTCATCTGGGTTCCAGGGAGTGTGTGCGATGCTCTCGGAGACCAGGATCGCTGGTAAAACAAGTTATAATGGATGGTTCTCTCTCCTGTTGGTAATGATTTGCCTGCTTGTCTTCTGGGAGCTTGTAAAGCAAAATAAAACCAGAATTAACTAAAAACTTCTCTACCATTGCCGAACCAGGAGGAGGACATGAGACAGGGATGTTCAGGAGACCTTGAGAACGATGGTCTGGGAGGCAGAGTGTTAGTTTGGGATCTGGAAAGCCGCGGCTCGGTGCTGCCTTCACCACAGATGTGCCATCTGAGCTGGGGGAGCCGGCGTAAGCTTGGGCATGTGGTCAAATTGCTGCACGCTGGGAGAGCCGCCTGCTTGCGCTGAGAGCATCCGACTGCAAAGGGAAATCCCCTTTTGGCATGGCTCAAGCTGACCACGTCTGATGGCACAAGTGTCCTCTCGGGTGAAGGGGAGCCGTGCGGCTGGTTGCCGTGGTGCGGAGGAGCTCAGCTTCTTCCAGCCCGCTACCTCCACTCGGGTGTCTGAGCATTTAGCATCTCTCTGCCTCAGTTCCCTTTCTGGAAATCATGGATAATAGAGGGTTTGTACGCAAAAGCCTCCGTGTTTCCATGGAGACAAGGCTTCGTTTGCTTGGGCATCTGATGTGGAATTGTGGCTTTTCTCTTAAATCTTGATATTCTTAAGACCTTTTTTCCAGATGTTCTCTGTTATCTCGGTGCTATCCTGGAGGTGCTGTGCTCTCAGACATCATAAACACTACATAAATACTTGTGGTCCTCCTTCCCTGCAGCCTTGCGTGGCTGTTCCTCTTACTGGGACACGATTTGATTTCTTCTGTCCCAGGTGAAGCAGAAAGTCGTAAAGACCCGCTCTTTAAACTGCACCAGGCACGTCTGGTATTGCATATTCCCTTTAAGTGTTGCTTAAAACAACATCAGTAATTTACACGGGTCTACTGAGGCTGGTTCTCGTTGTTGGAGCCTTAATGAAGTCAAGCTAAGAAGTTTGACAGGGAAAATGTCTTGCCAGTCTCTCATCTTCCCCTTGGCAGGACAGGAAAGAAAAGTGGATCTCCTTCGCTCATAAGCGGCTTGGGTTTTCTGATCCATGTGCCGTTAACGTGGTGGTTCCCCTTGAAGCTGCCGTTCTTAATGATCCCGCAGGATTGCGCAGAGACGTTGCCGCTTTCAGCGGATGAGATGAGAGGGCTTTAATTTTAACGCAGCGGTGTGATACCAGACTCGGGTGTGCGGGGACTCTCCCCCTTGCCCTGGGGTCCAGCAGGGCCAGCTGTGGTTGGGGATGAAGATCATTGTCCTGTTTATTCTGTATTTGCAGAAAAAAAAAAAGCCCCTGTGTGGCTCTGAAGCTGCGTGGGCTGAGCTGGGGCGGTGCTGGCTCTGCGGTCCAGGTGGGGAGGAGTGTTGGCACCGCAGCGTTTGGGAGAGCCTGGATCGGGTGCCCACATCGAGTCCCTGCCTGGAAGGAGATGCTGGTGCCCGGGGGTTGGTGATGGAGACCCGTCAAGCCCCGGGAGTGGTGCTGGGGCACGGTGTGGTTATCGATCCTGCTGCTTGGCACACTTTGAGGGTTTCTCATCAGCGCGAGGACACAGACCTGGGTTCAGTCATTGTCCGTGGTGCAAGGCAGTCAGGTTTTGAGCCTGGATTTTGTCTCCAGTTATGCTGATGTATTGCAGGGAAGGGTTTGTGCTCCCTGCAACCTGGGGATGCTTTAGATACGCATCTAATCTCATGCTTTCTGTGCGCATAAAGCGTCTCATGCTTTCTGTGTGCTTTCTCCTCCCCCATCAACTGCAGCTTGTTTTCCCAAGAGCTGGTGGAATTACGGCGTTGTTGCATCTTGGCTCTGAAGCATGAAGTCTCTTTGCAAAAATGTCCAAATCCAGTTTGGCAGGAGGCATGTGTCCCGGTGCCAGCGAGCCGGCACGCTGTGGGTCCCTGCTCCCCATCTTGGCTGGGCTGAGCAGAGCGGGGCTGGTGCGAGGGAAAGGCTTTGTGCAGAAAATCGTACCCTCTGCTGAAGCGACTTCATGTTTTATTGATCTGAGGAGAGCCCAGGCAGGCTTTTTCTCTTTTATTCCTGCCTTTGATGCCAGCCTGCCTGGTGGCATTGGTGGGGTTCGGGTTCCTGTCCCTGCCTGGACAATTACAAAGAGTTGAAATAGAAGGCGTTGGGTTTTGGTGGTGGGTTTTTTTGTTTGTTTGGCTGGGGTTTTTTTTGTTGTTGTTACTTAGATCAGATCGATGGCAGAAATTTTCACCCTTTTGTTAGTTCATGAGCATCATCTGATCCAGCTCTGAGGCTGAACGGGGTGGGCAGGAGCTAGCACCCTTGAGCAGGACCTTGGCGGCTCCCAGGCAAGCCCGCGTCCCTAAACCCACACCTGAGCGCAGATTTGGGCTGAGGGGACGTGGTCACTTCTGCTGGCTGCTGCAGGGCAATGACTTCCAGCTCCCCCACCAAGTGGGGTCAAGGGGTTTCTCTGCATAAAAGGGTGGAGGAATAAATTGCTTTTCCTTCCCAAACAAGTGAAGGTGGTTGGTGCAGCCCAGCACTTTGCTCCTTCAGCTGGTGAGGCCGGGGTGGCTCTGTCATCGTCTTCCCCCGGAGCCCATGTACAGCGAAGCTGGTGGGAGCTCCGCTGCTGACTTTGGTGATGACGGGATCTGGAGGCTGAGGAGTGTCAGGCCGCTGTTTTCCATGGGGAAATGATATCTTAACATAAGATGACAATATAATTCTGCAAAGCCTTTCCCTGTTGCTTGTGTTTCCATGTTAGGGTGTGTGGTTGTTTTTTAAAGGAGGTGGCATTTGAAATATGAAGTTTGACAGCCATGGTTAAGCCTGACATGACAGCCTGCTTTTTTCTTACTCATAGTGAGCTGAGATTTACACAATCCCGCAGGGACCGGTGTCTACAGCAATAGGCATCTCGTTCCTTCGTTAAAAGTGATTTAAAATGTAATAGTTCATTACGCACTTCTCTTCTGCGGGTGAATGCTCGTGCCGTGAGAGCAAGCTGAGCAGCATCTCCTCTGAGCATCTTGCAAACGGCACTTTGTGGGGTGCTCAGGGGGGTTGCTGGATGGAGACGTGGGGTCACCTTTCCTCGCAGCATCCCTCCGCTGCTGTCTCCAGGCTTGCTTTGCTCCTTCCCGCTGGATCCTGATCCCGCACTCCTTTCTCTGTTGAAAGCTTCCCTTTGATGGGCTTCCCTGCTTGCAGGCAGGGCTGGGAGAGAGCTCGGAGCATCGCCTTGTCCACCCGAAGGCAACGCGGACCCTGCCCGCCCATGGTGGGGCAGCGGGTGCCACCGCTTCTCTGCCTTTGCTGGTACAGAGTGGTTCCCAAAGCCTAACACAGATCCCAGTGTGATTTTGAAGCCCATCTGTGCTTGTCTCACTGACTTGCTTCCTCCCGGTGTGTGATGGGACTGGTCCCCAGAGCTGGTCACAGCCGAGCTCCTGCGGAGCTGAACGGCTGCAGGGAGAGAAACCGGGGCCAAAGCTGCTGCTGAGGGCATTGCACTGGGCTGATGACTTTTTAATTAACCCAGCCCAGTACGTCAGGCAGCAGAGGAGAGGAAGAGATAAGGTGATAAAATGCATGTTAATACTGTGTTCTTTATAAGCTTATGAAACTGGTGCCTTGCTTCGTTTTCTGTTCTCTATACTGGGTAATGCCCTGAGCAACCAGCTCTGAGCAGGGCTGGATTGGAGATGCCCACAAGTCCCAAATCCTGTTTTCCTATGGTCTTTTGGGTGGCTGTTCCTTCTCTCTCCCTGCTAAGCAGCAAGCAAGGAAGAAAAAAAAAAAAACACTCTGCTGCTGGAAAGGTTTATTTTCCTGGTGCAAACCGTGTTGGTGACACACCCCAGTAGGACTTCAGCAGTGCTGGTCTGTGCTGGGAGCAGGAACGTTGCTGTTTGTGATGGGAACTTGTTCTCCTCCCAGACTGGGTGCTCTGGCTCGGGCGCTGGGACAGGAGCAGCCCAAGCGTTGGCCTGTGCAGAAGCAGAAGGGTTGCAAAGCCCTCGTGCTGCCGTTGCCTTGGGCTGGGGTAGTGAGGCAGGGACCTTGGCAGCTAAACCGCAGCGGGCTTAAATCTGTGTAGCAAAGCCTTGGTGTGCGCTCAGCTAGCTTGGAGATGGCTCTTTGGCCTCAGGCGTTATCCAATATTTATTCTTTTTCTGTGTGAGACCAAGGCTGTGTTTCCTTCCTCCCCTGCGCGCTCTGCGGAGAAGCCCAGGGCTGGGTGCGGGATGGATGTGGTTCACCCCGGCTTTGGCAGGAGTGCGGTGGCCAGTGGGGTCATGGACCCACTCCTGTTGCTGCAAAGCACCCGAGGGGTGGGCGGTTTTCCTGCTCCCGTGCTGCTGCCGTTCCAGTTTGAAAGACTGACGTGGCTGGGATAATCCCACAGAAAATTGGCCTGATGAGCTTCTGTCGTTCATTTGCTGCCTTAGACTTTTGAGCCAAGAAAACCACTCTTGGTGAAAATGGGGAAAAACCTCACTTCTCCATCCTTCAGTGATGAGAAGCGGGTTTTGATGGCTCTGCTGGGTTGCAATGGCCACGCAGCTCTCGAGGATGGGCACAGGGGTTTCCTTAGCTGGAGGGTGGGCTGCTGGCAGAGGTGCCAGCGGCGCTGCCGTGCGGCAGCTGGTGTCAGATCCTCGCAGCATCGATGCCTATGTGGCTCTCACCACTCCCCTTCTGTCTCCCAGGTCATGCTGGCCGCTTCCTACTGGTCCCTCCTGGCCCCGGCTATCGACATGGCCGAGGAGTCCGGCAGCTTCGGAGCCTTCGCTTTCTTCCCGGTGGCCGTGGGCTTTGCCCTGGGAGCAGCTTTCGTGTACTTCGCTGACCTGCTCATCCCGGCGCTGGTAAGTACGCAGGTTTTAATGAAACCATGTTTTCTCTGAGACCCTGGGTGGCTCTGCCAGGGCTGAATGCAGCTTTAGGCTGTCTGCGCTCTTCTTCTTCCTTTTTTTTTATTTTTTTTTACGCTTCTGCTTTTGTTCTTTTTACTGGCAACACTGCAAACAGGTCAGGTGTGACCTTCTGTTTCAGCCCAGGGGTTTAATTTGCAAAGCTGCCAACCTTCTAAGCATTTCAAAATTGAATGAACCATCCTATCATCTAAGAGTATTATTAAATAAATAAATTGGAAGCTGTTGGATTTTTACAGCTGAAAACACAAGAATGGCTTAGTTGGGAAAGATCTTTTCAAAAACTTCCAAAGAGCTTTTTAAATTTTTTATTTATTTTAGTGGAAGCGGGGATTATCTGTGGTTATGAGTAAGGAGCATGAGGCTTTCCATTTGAAGACGAGTATGGCTGGTATCCCCGGTGTCCAGGGGAGCACGCAGCATCAGCCTTCCCCGCTCCCTTGCTTTTTGAGCCTCTCATAACAGGTACGGTCAAATGCATCCTCAGCTATGAAGAAAATTACTCGATATTACGGTGTGTCGCTTCCAGTGCAAATGGATGCATTAGAGTAAAGAACAAATAAATGAAACAACAGCAGTGTCAGATGGCTGAAGGCCTGGCCCCCGCCGCGCTCTCTGCCTGCCCGTGTCCTGGCTCTTCCCAGGGCTCCCGAACCCTTTGCAGGATGGGAGCGGGGGCTGCCGTCGGGTAGCCGGAGCCCTTGGAAGCCATTTGCCATCAAACCCTGCTTTTTTTTTCTTCTGCTCTCAGTAACCCGAGGTCTCTTGCCTGCGCTGGCCATCGCAGTGATCGCCCATGTTACAAGGTGCTGGATGGGGCGCGGGATGTATTTGATCAGCTGCCCGAAGCTGATGTTTCCCAACAGGGTAGATAAACAGTTGCACCACAAAACCCGCTTCTTCCTGATGGCTGGCATTTGTCTCTGCTGCGTTTTGAAACGGGAACACGTGGAGGGGGAAGAGCATCGGGGGAGTGAAATTCTTGCGTTGCAAAGAGCAGGATGGAGCGGTGATGAGGGTGGCCAGTGTGAATGGCGGCGAGGGTGATGGTCTTGTAGGGAGCAGCGCAATATATATAAAAAAAAATATAATTATATCGTGCTTTAAATCCATTTCAAATACCAACAGGAGAGGAGCTGTTGCCTCCTCTGGCTCGACGCAGCTGTGCGCACCATGCGGGAGAGGGTGTGCCACCACACGCTTGTCCCACGGGACTTCTGGTAGCTGGTAACGCTGAGCTCGAGTGTTTACAGCCCGTGGCTAACGCTGCTGCCTGTGTGTTTTGCTTCCTGCAAAAGCAGGTGGCCCTGTGCTGGGGTGTCTCCTCCAGCCAGATAGCAGGCAGGACCCACCTTGTTAGAGTTTGTGCAAATGCAAAACGCTGCTTGTCCTTCCCCCAATAACTCGGGCAGGGCCAGGAGAGCTGGCGGTGGGTGCAGGGCTCCCGTGCTCCCTGCCCGGAGGCAGCCGTGGTGGGGGCTGGTCAGAGACTCTGCGGTGGGCAGGGGATGGGACTTTTGGGATGCTTTAGGAAGAGGACAGGGTACCCAGAGACTTGGCGAGGTTACGAGGGATGCTGTGGAAGGAGCACGGGTAGAGGTTAAAGCTGAATATGTTGAAAAGAAAATCAGCAAGTGCCTGGTCAGTCCTGAGCTGTCCTTGGGGCTGTGCTGGCAGGGGAATTTGGCTCAAGATGCATCTCCCTTCACTTTGAGCCCAGACTTCTCAGGAGCCAGTGCTGCTCAGACAAGGGTTAAGCCATTGCACTTCACTTCCAATAAGTCTTGCTTCTTTCTAAATCTGTTAAAATCTCAGGGTTGTTTCCCCCCCACCACTTAAAGTCAGGCGAGGAAGGGATGCTGGTGAGACTGTGGGGCATGCTGTCCCTGGGAGGGCAGGACGAGGGATCCATTTTTAGCAGGCTGCTCTTTGCAAAGAGAGCGCTCTCTCTGCCTGGCACTCCTCCATAATTGGTTTGCTGGATAGCAACAGGTAGTAAAAGCTTTTAATGACTCCTTATCACCCCAGCCCTGCTCCCCAGGGAGGGAGCAAGGCTTCGCTCCTGCTGCAGCCCCACCGGGAGCTGGGCGGCTCCAGTGGTACTTGAGTGTTTGCTCAATGGCAGAGCTGGGGCCGGCGGGAGGGTTAAACCTCCAAGACAAACTGGTTAATGATGCCGAACAGCTGTAGTCATTAAATTCCTTACAAAAGACAGATCTAATCTGTTACATCTTTATCTTTTGCCATTTCCCCATGTGAAGCCTTTAACGTGTTTGTTCATCATCCTTTCGCTGAGTTTATGGAGGAGGAGATGCTGGCCTGGGAGCGCTCGGCTCGGCTGGGGAGGACAGTAAATCACAGCGGGGCATTCGGGTGCGCTTGGAGAGCGAGACCATTGCAGAAACAGACCTCAGGAGTTTTATAAAAAGGCCTCTCCCTGATTTCGGCAACCGTCTGCTTGCATGTTGTGTTCAGCCAAAGTGTCTTTACCAGTTGTGCTGGGTTCGGCGGCTGGGGAGGCGGTTGTAGAGCTGGTTCTGCAGCGGGATGTTGCTATAGTTTCTGGAATATCTTAAACCACTAATGAGCGGCCTGTCTGTCTCTTCCCTCCCTGGCTCTGGTGATGCTGCAACAGGTTTCTCTCCTTCCTTCACTCTTGTTTAACCTTACGACTACTTCTTAAATAAGAACTTGGCTTTCAACTGATATTTGAGGAGGCTTCTGGATGGAGAGGGGCAGGTGATGGGGGTGTATGAGACACTATTGCCTTTACTAAAAAAGGGTTGGGGCTGAGGGTCTTTGATACCAAGACCCGAAGCCTTTGAGGGAGAGTTTACTTAAAAATACCACTCAGCGCAGTAGGTCCCTGGTGGCTGAGTAGCTATTTTGGGTCTACTGTAACACATAAGAAAGCTGGAATTAAGTATTATTATTCTTATCCTTCAAATCTGTCTTGCAGCCCTGCTGAGTTGGCTGGGTTTTGTTCAAGAGTGTGATGTTTTATTGGGTTTCCATGATGGGTTTCTTGCTCTGGCTTCCCTCTTCCCGGAGGAATCCCGCAAGAGTCCAGGGGACGCATCCAGCCCTGACTCTGGTTTTCAGACAGTCCCTGGCTGCTTTTGCTCCTGAATTTTCACGTGCACGTGTGTTGCCTTTGTCTCTGAGCTGCCGGATTCCCGAGACCTCACCCAGCGGTGCTGCAGGCTGTTGGAGCTCCCACGAGTGTTCCCGTGCCCACGCGGGTGGGCTTTGGGTGGGATGCTGGGTCCGGGCGCAGCAGAGCGCCTGTGTTGAAGCTGTGGCTTCCAGGAGCTCCCTTGCTCCTGCCTTTTCCAGATCACTGCCCTTAAATGATGCTTTGAGCAAGCGGGAATTCACAGATGGGGCACTGGTGGGATTGGGAAGGTGGCACGGGCAGGGAAGAGGAGAAAGCAAGCTGGCCATAGTGGGAGATAGTAAACCCCTCGCAGGCTGCACGTCAGCTCGGCCGTACCGGCCTGCCCACGTGCGTGCGCGCTTCTATCATCCGCCTTGTTCTTTCCACTCCCCAGCTGCATGACGTCCTCTTGGCTTCACGATCATTATGCTAAATAGGATAATGAGGCTTAATCAGCTTCACCTCCTCTGCCTCGAGGCTTCATTTTGCTCAGAAACATCTGTCCTCATACAGAAAGCTGCTCTTTCACTCCCAGTGTGGTGGGTACAGGTCTGCAGCTGGAGCTGAGCTTGGTCCAGGACCTGGATGGGTGCTGCAGTATGTGGGGGTCTGGGGCAGCCCCGGGGTCTCCCCTGGGAGTGCTGATGAGCGCTGAAGGCAGCTTTGGGGGAGGGAGAGGAGGGCAGATGTTGCAGGAGAACCAGGAGTTAATATATAATCCAGGGAGAGAGCTGATGGGCCATTACTCAGTTATAACTAGGAGCCTGCCAATACTTCTTGTGTAAAAGATGATCGGGGACAGGAGGATGGGGAGCCAGGGCTGTAATTCTGTCCTGGAAATACCATCTCAATTGGATGTTTTTTTTTTTTTCTTGTCAGCTAGATACAGGGTTTGTTGTTGTTTGTTTTTTTTTTTTTTTTTCCCCCTGTAAATCAATAAAGCCACATGTGATGGGTGGACCATTCCTTAGATTTAAAACGAATAGTAACTAAAGTGCCTTTTAAAAGCCTTTCGCCTGGGTTGGTGCGTGCTCTGTGGGTGCCAGCGCTGGCCCCTTGTGCCGCAGGAAGGACCAGCGTGGCCGAAAGCCCTTCCTGGGGGTCCGGGGCTTGTGTTTCATACCCGTTTTGAAATATTTTGGGCTGTGATTTGCAGCTGCGTAATGGTTTTCATGAGCAGGCTGAGGATCTTCACGTGGGATGGATGAGAGTAGAGCGAGTGCGTATGTGTGTATGTTTGTAGTAGGAGGCTGGATCCCGTTAATCCTCTCAAACCGTAATTGTGTTGTGCTCCTGCCCTCTTTTATTTTTGCAAATCAAGGCTTGCAAGATTTTTTGGAATATAGTCTGGGATTGGGCATTTTGTACAGCGAATTTTGGCTATTTTTTGGTGAGCACCCTTGGGAAGGATTTGAGAACTTGATATACAGATATCCGAGGGATACTTTCTCGTTTAATAATGATGCTGTCTGTTGTTTGGCTCAGAATGTGCCTCGAGGACGTATATTTTGCTTTCTAAATCTGTGCAAGTCATGTATCGGGGGGGAAAAGCTGAGATGAGTGCGTGGATGGTGAAGCTGCAGGAGGGGGAGGAGAAACCATCATGCCCACTCAGGCATAGTTGCATCTTACTTAAAATTGCAATTTCTTTCTCAGGGCTAAACCACAGCTGGATTAGATCATGGGAAGCATGTGTTTTTTTTTGAGGAGGCACTAGGTAGTGATTGCTAGCACATACCTGGTGTAGCAGGGTAACGAGGCAGGGCAATGGGTGCAG